ACTGAAATAATTGATTAAAAAAGATCGAATTCTTTTCTCTTAAAAAAAATATGGGAAAGTTATTTTTCTGGGATCCATAATTAATTATATCTAATATAATTAATTATAATTTAAAATCTTGAAACAAACCATACTTTTTATGACTAATAGTTTTTCCGAATAAAGAACTGAGAAAAGAGTGTCTCAACAAATCTAAAAAAGGTCTAAAAAAATGGTGGAATAGATTTTAAAATGAGAATGAAAATGGGATGCTTTAGAAAAAAAAAATTATCTTAGAAAAATACTGTGGTGGGATTCAAAACTAAAGCATTGAAAATATAGTTCAAAGTATGGTCTCTCTAATCTATTTTCGGCAGAATTGAATATTTCCCACCATAGTATTTTCATTACGAACAAAAGATAAATCTTATTAACGGGGGTATTGATATTCCCCAAAATTCGTTTTGTGCTATTTGTGGAGATCCCGCTAATGGGCTTTCTCCATGGCTCACTGGACAATGAGTTGCCCAACTAGAAAGAACCAGAAGGTCCAGAACTCTTGAATCATGTTATGGCACATCCTGTAAAAATGTTCACCACCTCTGGATGCGCCTTTGTCTTTGGTTGGGCTTCTCCTTTGGGTGTCCAGACTCTTCATCAAGTCTCCTCCATCAACTTGGTTTGGTTTGCCTTCTAAGAAGGCTTGGGAAGCTTGTTCTGGTCTCTTACGGTGGCAGTATATATAACAGCAAGGACTGGCTTACTTGGAATGGTATCATCATTTTTCAACAATGCTCTTTGTGATGAAGAGAGGATGTTAGAGCTTATTCAATCTAAGACCTTCATAAGGATTAAAGGAAAATCTAAAGGGACAACATTTAGCAATGTTAGTTGGTGCCTCTTGGGCTCTTCCTCCAATCGTCTGGGTAAGAGAGATATAGCTGTATTTTATATTTTGAGCTACCGTAATCTTTATAGAGGACGTGGACCTCTATTAAAAGTGTTGGGAATAACTTGTACTTCTACTTCAACAATATTTTATTTTTCTAATGTAAAAGGTCTTGCATTAAGTTAGTTATTTTGAGGAAAGTGCAAATAAAGATAAGAATTTTATTTTATTTTTTTTAAATATAAACCTTTTAAAATTTTAAATTAGGTGATAAATTTTTATTTTTTAAAAATAAAGATATTAATTTTATTTTTTCTCTATTTAATGATTAATTTAATGAAAATAATTACGTGACAAACAATAATCTTAATCAAAATAGAATACAAATTTATATTTTTAAATAGAAAAAATAA